ATCCTTCATCAGTATGAGCACGATGTAAAAAGAATCAGATTAAAATCTATTCTGATTATTAAACTATAACAATCTTGAATTCTATACAATAAAAAAAGTGAAACAGTTTCACCCGAACATCATATGTAGAAACGCTAATAAATTTTTAAAATTTCCAAAAAACGACTCAAAGACATGCCTAAAATGAAAATAGTAATTAGAGATATGAACTGGCACAACTCTAAAATTGCAAAATGACGTCAGTTAAGATGTTACAACAACTGCGTGTAAAAACATTCCCTAAAAAACAGCACTGATCGATATAAGCTGGTAAAATATGTCAAACAGAGGCTGCGTATTTATCATCCCAAATAAATAGCAGTTTTATAATGAAAAGAAAAATAATAGTAAATTTGGGCTAAGGTTAAAAAATTGGACGTGGGTGCGTACTTGTACATCCCTACCAAATGAAAAGAACCCTGATTTAAACTAGTAAAATTCAAAAAATTCCAAAAGAATCCTTAAAACTGTAAGGGTCAAGTAAGGAAGTCGGAGTAACTGGAAACAAATGATGTCAGGAAAATGAGTGATGGTAGGGAAAATGAGTGACTCATTCTATGTTTTTTCATTTATGCCCTCTGGGGAAACTGTCCTTAGCTTTCTTATCCAAAACCTTTCCCGAGCAAGTCTTTCGGCCTTTGACCAACCCTCGTTGTAGTCTATCGATGTGATTGTAAGGTTTTTGAGATCAGCTTGGGCGTGCCCAGGTGATCTCAAATGACGACTTACGGGGAGGTCGGGCTTGCAGGTGTAGTCACTTCGATGACCATTCATGCGTTTGTTGAATGACTGTTCTGTCTCGCCAATATACTGCATGCCACATCGACACTGAAGAAGGTATACAACATTCTGTAGTTTGCAAGTTACATTACAAAATATAGTGTACACAGACCCAGTGGAGTGGCAAGTAAATGTTTGAGTATTCAGTATTTGTTGGCAAGTCAGACATCCTTTGTTACCACACGACTTGCACCATCCTGCAGTTGAACAGCTTTTATTAGATAAGGGATTTGCGCGTGCTAATAATAACAGCCGCAATGACCTATTACAGGACAAACAGAAGAGGCGCAGCAAAATAGTTCCGTTTGTTTTAACATACAATCCCGCCTTTACTAACCTTTCACGTTTGATCCGTGCCAATTGGCAAACTATTGCCAAGCACCCAAAATTGTCCAAGATCTTTCCCAATCCTCCTGTCTTAGCTTTTCGGGGACCAGAAAGTCTGAAAGACTTATTTGTGAGAGCTGACGTCTCTTCTAATAAAAGCAATTTTTATACGTGTGCATGTAAAACAAATTTCTTGTTAGAGGGGTCTAAATACAGCACAAACAACATTTTCCAAAAGACCAAAAAAGTGAAAAAGTATATTTTAACAAAGCGCATTTGACTAACAGGTATATATATATATCATATCAATTATGAGCTAGATGTAGAAACTTTTTTCCTACCAGTCTTATATTATATTATTTTAAATGTTCATCGGAATAAATGGTTATACGTTTTCTGGTTGACAGTATAAACAAATACCAGTAAGTTCCTAAAGGATATTTTATGGTCATTATTTATATGTCACGTCGAGTTCTTTGCCAATTAGTGTTTTTTGTTTTGTGAAAAATATTAATTGATTGGTATTATTTGGAGTCACGTACAGTTATAGTTTAGGTTATTGATCTGTGATTATTTGATACTGTATACAAATTAGGTTTACTCTATTTAGCATTTTATTACAAAAGCCGGTTATAAGTAACCATATTATTTTTGATTTAGTTCCTGTTGTCTGTCATTTTCGCACAAAATAAAACCTTCAATGTAAAAAAAAATGATTGAATATTTACACCAACATCGTAAAAAAAGATTAATAACACGTCGTTATACACAAAAGGGAAGGTGAGTACTTATCTTTCTCCTCAAGTTGTTTTTAAGCACAAGAAAACAACATGAAAGAAAAGAAGCAATTTTACCAATAAATACATGATTTCTTTGTTATGTCAGTTGCCTTTTAGAAACAGGAGGGGCTTCATTATAAAAATAAGAAGACTAATGAGAAAACTCTCCACCAAAAACCAAATGACAGAGAAGTTAGCAATAATTATAGGACTTTAACAATGAGCAAAACCCATACTGCATACAAAAGGCCCATAAATGACAAATGTAAAACAATTCAAACGAGAAAACTAATGGCTTGATCTATGTACAGAACAATAAACGAAAACAAATATGATATACAGGAACAAACAATAACCACAGAATTACAGGCTCCTGACTTAGGACAGGCCTATACATAATGAGGCGGGGTAAACTAACCTGGGACAATGGTGTTACATTTTGTAACAGCACAACATATTAAGATCAAACTATAAAAATCAGTTGAAAGGGGCTTAACTCATCAGATCGATACAAATCACAAACAACTAACAAAAGAACAAAATACACAAAGAACAGATCTGAGAGTACTCACAGTTACTGAAAGCTAGTTCAAGCCAACAACAGCTAATAAAAAATTCATTTATTTAAGACTGGGACCAAAAGAACATCACCGTCCAAAAAGGAAATAAGCAATAGGGAATGAAAAATCGTTCTTTTTATCGTAAAATATTGTGCTGAGTTTCATGTGTTAAACTGAAATATCTAAATCTAGGAAAGGACAGTTATTGTTGATTTTATTTGATTTATTTAAAGTAAGTTCCATTGGGTAAATTTCGGCAGTATAGTAAGAGGAATCCTGATTATTTAACGAAAAAATAGCATCACGATAACGGTAAGTGTTGTTGGATTTTTCAATTAAACTGAATTTAGATATATATTTACTGAGATTGGCCATAAACTGTGATTTATAACATAACAGGAACAAGTCTTCTATTAAAATGGCATTTAATGATTTTTGTTTGGTAGTCGAAGCAGTAAACGAAATTGGCCTTACCTACATGTAGTTTCACTTTTTTCTTTTGATATTCTTTTAAATCACTGAACATGCTGTGCTGAGGACACTTCATAAGTTCATAGATCATATAGTACATCCAGATGATAACATATAAACTAAGTTTTTTTTTTATCTTATTTTGACAGAATTGTGCCAAACTGACTGCTTACATATTGAAATATTCTTCATTGTTATAATGGCCATTCAATCCTAAGTTGAAATTCAAGCTAGGAATCCTATCCTTTAAAAATAAGTTTTACTTTCGCAGATATCTTATCTCAGTCAGCTTCGCGTCGCTCTTGTAAACGCAATCGACGACAGTGAAACCTACGTTTTACGTAGTCCAAACTTAAAATGCAGTATATGCAGCTGAGAAATTTTAAGGTACATTCACAGAACGTAACGTCCATGTAAGGCAATTTTAGCAAATGCCAACACTTAATGCATGCATATGATTACTGCTTTATCTTTTATACATTAATCTTTCCCTATACAAAATGACCATATAAATTCAACATACTACCACGGCACGACAAGGCCTTAATTGGTAGTTTATAAACGTTGCCCTTTACAGATCACAGCGACCGTCAAATGTAACGAATACAAACTGAAATAATTTATTGTGTGTGTGAAGTCTGTAAAAATACCAGTAGCTTTTGAAAAAATGAATAAAGATTTCTTTTGAAAATTTGGGCATATTTCATTTCGAAAATTTAGGTATATTTTAGAGTTGTAAATCGTGTGATGTTTTATCACAGTTAGTAAGTCAAACACAGAAGATAAGCATTATCTAAGGAAAAGAGAACAAAATAGTTGAAGATAGCAAAGTAGGAAGTAAAACAGCTTCTACAAAAACAGCCATAAATTTATCAGTCTGAAGACAATCAGGTTGTACCTAGCGAGATCTGTTCTTATGCCTTTATGCTGCTAATGAGAATTGACTATCAATAAGAAAGGCAACAACTTATCCAACTGAAGAATGATGTCTAAACAATTTATATTGATTATTTTCTTTTTTTTTTACACTTTCCATGCACCATGTGCTTTTGCTAACAAACCGAAAAATATGGAAGAATCAAACCCCTCTCTCCCATTTGCAAGCCTTTCTGACTGTTCAAGTACACTTCTAGTTACAAAAAAAATGTTGAATGCTCAACTAGGTATGGGTTCCTTGTACCATACAAAGCATAACGTTTCTAATTTTCTAGATGATGTTTTTAACAAATATGTTGTTTTAAATCGACCTAACCACTCGTCGGGCTTCTTGTTGATATATAAATTGTTTAATGCACACCTAGGAAAACTGACCAAACATAATAACAAATGTAAAGCGTTTCACAGTTTTCCAAAAAAAAAAAAACCAAAACAAAACAGTCAGAAAATACTTTGTGTTTAGAAAGAGAACAATAACAAAGACCATCCAATCACTGTTCATATACTTCGACTTGAATTCTACTACTACTACTACTAAACAAGGTTCTCATTACTATACTTCGGTTTTGTTTGTCTTTTTGGCAATGACCTGTTTCTCTTCGACGTTTGATTTTGAATGTTCCTTTGTATCTTCTGTCTATTTGTTATAGACAAAATATCTGGAATATCAAGTCCTAACGCTTATTGAAAACTTTTGACTGATTTGATCTAGTAGTTAGATGTTAACTCTTTATACCCACCCTAGAAAGTCCACCAATAATGCTTAAAATGAAGAACATCAATAAAAGCAGTGTTCATTTGTTATATTCATTATATTGTCTTGTATTTCCTGTAATTATATCATTCATCTTTCCTTTTTCCATTTGTTTATCTATTTCAGTGCACGCCATTTTCGGAATCATTAACACAAAAATGGTCTTTTTGTTTCAGAAATTGGAAAAGAAAGACCGCCATGAAACTTTTGTCTGAGTGGCAAGGAGCCGATCAATTGATGTATAAGTTGCTCATGTATCGTTTGATTCAATTGTAGAGTAACCTTGATCGAATTTTTAAGATAATTTTATCAATTGTCACGGAGCTATTCTAAGGCACTGGCTTTAAAAACTAATTTTCATATATACATATTTATTATGTACAAGTTCATATATATACACTTTCATTAAATTTACATTGTTCAATATAGAGACACATCCATTCTCTAACACTAACTATCTTAAACTCTCTCGCATCTCAACATTCACCTATTTTTTATCATCGAAAAGGCCTTTCCTACTTTCATGACTTTCTCACACATTAAATCGTCATTCGCCTCAAGATCACACAAGTATAGGGACAGAATATAAACAAACAGTACCATAAATTATACGGCTTCTAATTAGAAATGATTACAGTTAAAACACAGCTGTATCATACATTAAATTTAACGGTCAATCAGACAGTCGGCTAAAGTTCATGAAAACAATAAATCTACAAATACTTAACACGCTTGACCATAGTAAATTAATGTGGGCAATTAAATACCGATCTGAGATAAGAAATAAATGTGCAAAGTTTCGCTCTATGACACAATGTTTAATTTTATACCTTATTGCATATGACATATGTTTAACTTATACTTATATTTGTAAAATATCTATAAAAAGATCTTCCTGTTCGTGCTAGTGTAAAAAGAAAACAGTACACGTATATAATTTACTCAATTTTCTTTCCGGCACAATAGCTTAAAGGAAGCATTCAGTTCTCTTTCTATGAAAAAGTTTTAGATTTTGAAGGAAATCAAATATTGTTTTTTTTAAATATTCTTGGATTTATATAACTTTAGAAATCTGAAACATAAAGATCCTTAAAGTCAAACAACGGGCGAAAAAAAAATCTTCTGAAATGCGAATTTATCCAAATGATTCGTCTAAACAGAAATATACACGTATCATAGCAGGACAGGAAAGTGAAGCGTTGTTAAATATTAAAAACACAATGAAAACAATCAATTTATTGTAAATAAATACACTAATAATGATGAAACTAGCACCCTGGCAAACAACACTTATAAATATCGTAAATCTTTTCTGATACTTAGTGATCAACAGAAGCTTTAAAAACTCCAATTATGTTTGACTTTTTTGAGTTATAAACGTACGAACTGTCTGACGCATGCATGCTTATCAAATCGTTCTTCTTCAATTTAATTGGCAGGAAAATTCTACTGGTACTATACATTCCATGGGGAATTCGAATTGTTCTTTCTGAGATAATGATAGTTAAGTTTTCAGACCGTAGCTGTACATAATGAGTGACCTCTGAATTATCTGTCCACGTTTTATACCATGTTAACTGTAGACACGCATATAAGTAGTAAAGACCCTCTTTTGGAATAATTAATCCGGTTGTAACGTTATTGCCTTGTGCTAGTAATAAAGTGTATGTTGCATTTTGAGTATTGGTGTCTGCAATTGGAAATTATATTTAAAATTATAAGTATAAATATTTCAAATACAATGTATGGCTTCAAGCATCCGACTTCTACATTCTTTTACATAACGTATGCAAAAAAGATATCTATATTTTTTTGGTGAACCAAATAATGATTGTGAGCATGGCGTACTATAATAAAAAATAAAGTAAAAAGGAAATTCAATTATTCGGGGTTGTACGGTTTATATAGGTTCCAAAGACTGAGCAACCTCGATATCTATGAAAAACACATTGACGTTAAGCGTCAGTATATTAAAAGGAGTGAAAACTGTATACGCATACAAGGCACCAACATATTTTTAGACGGCAAATTATATTGTTCATCACGTTGCATCATTTTATTGTTGTAATTACATTTAAAGTCACATATACCCCATTTTAATTTCCTCTATATATATACTTAGAATTTGTGAAAGTTATAATCTATAACTGTCTATGTTTGGCCATTATATAATCTACTTTCGTTTACATTTCGGTGCGTCTTATCTTACTTGTCATATGTGTATGCATCAATGCAGTCAGCTATTTTTGTATTTACAAACCTGTGTTAGGTGCTGAGTATTCTCCTTTAACCAACAAGGAAACTGCTTGGTCCTTTAGTCTTTCTTTACCAGTATAAGAATTGGTATCGTTGGTTGTTTTGTTTTTTGTAAAAAGGACATGTTGACCTGAAATCTGTTTGCAAAATTTTAATCTATCAATCAAAAAGGTGGGTTTTGAGTTTGACAAACATATTTACTGGTGCACATATTTCTGACTAAATGAAACCATAATATGTAACCTGACACCTGAATGTCAGTCTAATAAACCTGGCGTCATTTTGAAACGCTTTAACGTTTGATTTGCGCATGCATATATAAACACATTTTTACCGAAAACCTCCAGCCATTTTTCTTGGTTCAAACTATTTTGCAGTCATACAAATGGTACACAATAATTTCAATAAAACAACATGTCTTCATATACGAAAACATTATAATCTCAAATTGATTCATTTTATTCATTTCATAAACACGTTTTAATATTACACCACATATTATTGATTCCGCAAAACCTAACGATGCGTGTTTGGCATATTGTATAGTTATATGCGCGATAGGTACTTTAAAGATAGCGAAGACCGGTATTCATACGTACAGGTTTTTGGACAGATATATCATATTCAGCCGGGATGTTAGCGAAAAATAACGGTCGAGAGGAGGTTAAATTTCTTGAGCCGCCAGGAGGAGGAAAGTACTTATTAGGACTGGTATTTTCGCAAATATCCATACTAAATATGATATTTCTGTTTAATTATAACGAATACCAATAGACATGGTAAATTGAATCTTTCCATTTAATTCCATTATCGCTTTAAAGACGTTAAAACATTTGCAGTTATTAAAACGCACACATGACTCTCTCTCCGTGATGGGTAACCAAATACCATGGCAGAGACGGTAAAAAGGCATAATTATACTTGTATAATACACTAACAACACACCAGCTATCAACAAATCAAAATCCAGCATACTAATAATTGTTGACTTTGCAAGAATAGTTTAACTGTTATGTTAATGGTCGAAAAAAAAAAACTCTTGAGAACTTGCGTTTTTTAAAATGTACAAACCCGATTTTAAATCAAAAATAGATATTATAAAGTACTTACCAGTGTAATGAAAATAACAACAGATTCTGTGGTAGAAACCATGCTGTACGGAACTTTCCTCTGTTCATTCCGTACAGATTCGGTGTCATTAATAGCATGTGACGACATCAATATGTGGTATGAATTCTCCTGTGCTTTTTCTAGTTCTATCTTGTGTACTTTGTTACTTTGAATGGTTGAGATAGTGACACATACAGCAATCACTATACAGAAAAATACGACACAGTTAATTATTATTCCAATTTCATAATGGAAATGTTTACGATATTGTTTTGGAATATAAGTTTTTTCTTCTGTTTCATTATAGCCAGAATGCATATTCATATGAAGACAGGCAGTATTTTATAAAACAAAATGGCAATATCGAAACTTGATGTGGAATTTCCAATTATTTAAATATTGCAGTTCATCCAATTTGAAAATAACTTCCTGGTTTACATGGTTTACTGCGATATAAAAATAGTTTTTATTGAAATCATGTTTAAAGGAAGACTTTAGACTAGTGTTTAAAGGAAGTTGAAATTAAGGTTAATCCCACTTTTCGTGACATTGTTTCTAAAATAAGATTGGTCAAAATTATATAGTGCACTATAAAAGATTTTACACATACTACAATATGTCATTGAAACAAATCCATGAATCTGTTTGTCGGACTTCATAATTTTAGAAAATATAAAGGCGGACGAGACAAAGGGGATATTCAAAAATCATAAGTCGAAGAAAAACTGACAACACCATGGCAATAATAAACGATAAACGACGAACAAATGAGTTTTGAGTGTCCCCTTGGTATCTTCTTCCTTAATTCATTTGTTTACTTTCAGTCCTTTGCCCTACCGGGAGATTTCAAGACTCAAATCCTTATATGGATAATGCGTCTAATCTTTCTACACTAATTCATTATTGTTGCTTGCTCAAGGCCATACGATACAGTCACAGAGTTGATAATAACGTATGTAAAATGTTATTTTTCGTGACGTCAAAATGTGACATATCGGGAAAAGTTGAAATTTTTCACTAATTTTACTCATTAACTTGAAAAAGAGTACATGGGTCCCTGATTTTTTAAATCACATTTGGCTTCAAAATGGAACTCTTTTGAAACTTGCCTTTTACGGATCAGTTAAACAGTTGTTGAAAGGATGGTTGCTGAGAGTGAATACGATAAAGGATACTTTATCAAACCAATTATCGACCCATGAAGGGCATGTTACATATAATGATTACAAATAGACATAAGTAAAGACAGAATAATGATAATGCTTATGCTAGTATGGATTTAACTATATCAGTTGTTTTCTTCTAAAACATGTATAACACATCAAAGCCACAGTATTGCATAGTATATATCGACAGTGTGATACAATCTCTTCATGCAGCATCTTTTATTACATCCCTATTCCGACGGGCTTGGTTGCACATTTAATTAGCCCGCAAAGACAAATGGACTTACCCACTCATCATGGGTTGTATAGTGGGATGGACTTTGGGATAAGTTCAGGTGGCAATATATCAATACCCATGTCAACCTTTGGTCAAACACCATTGCGAATGCATGTATTCAAATATATGTGCTACGTTTTGATTGTATCATTTTATTAGGAAATTTCATATTTTTGCTTTAATTTCCAATTTTTGTTGACTAATATTTGCTAGCATTATATGTATATAATCATTTGTTGCACAAGCAAAAGATGGTGTAAAAGAGGACAAAATCCATAAAGCAAACAACACCCCACAAAAGACTATACAGAATACTAAAGCACAACGAACATAAAATCAACCCATTAATTGTACAGGAACACATTTTAATGATATTTATCTAAAGATTGAGCACAACGAACATAAAATACCAATATCAACCCATGAATTTTACAGGAACAAATATCAATGATATTTCATCTAAAGATTGAGCACAACGAACATAAAATACCAATATCAACCCATTAATTGTACAGGAACAAATACAACCCATTAATTGTACAGGAACAAATATCAATGATATTTCATTTCAACACATGCCTCGGAAAGAAAATGAAGGACAAGGATAACAAAAAAAAACCAAACAGAGAAATGTTTTGGACCATACTGTTCTCAATAGGGATCGCTGCAAGGACACGACTGACAAATTTAGTTGGACTTTAATTAATGCAATTTCGACAAATTGTGTCTTCATAATTTCCTAAAAAAAAGCTAGATAACAAAGGTTATGGTACATGTACCATTTTTGGTTTGAGTTTTCCTTACTTTTGAAAGATCAAAAAGAATAAGAAATGATTGATTTGATCTTTTCCGTTGCTAAGATAATATCGCATTATCTTGTTGTTATTTGGCTTCTGTGTTGCAACCGAATTGATTCCACGACTTTACCTTATGAAGTTGGAACCTTAGTTTTCAGTAATCTATTAATTTATCAAAAAAAAAAAACGGGGAATTTTAGAAAATATGTTATTAATCATGTTAGTATCGAATCACTGAATAATAAGCTGGAATAGACTTTTACACGCCAGGATAACATATAACCATAAACATATATGGAGTAAAAAATCGTGTAACAATGACAAAAATGTTAATAAAACGATAAAATACAATTGGCACATGGTAATGAATATAACAAACAGAGGAGAGACGACAGAATCAAATTTTTCTATATGCAAAATATAAATACAGTCATTTTGTATATCCATTTAATATTTTGTTTTAGCTATTTCCTTTTTGGTTGGATACTCCCTCTATTTACGTTCTTTTACATTAGTTAACTCGTTCAAGTCATGTTTATTTTATAATTTGTAATGTAGCATATTTTGAATGTATTACGAAAAAAAAGACAACAAAATCAAATTATAACATAAATATCAATCAAACTGGGAAAAAAACGAAAAAAAAAGGTCAAACTGTTCGCCGCTTAGAGGATAATATTTTGGACATTGATTTAAGACCATAACGTCAGACTTAACTTTAGAATTGATATAATCTTTGGTATTATTTGTGTGTTATTTCAGAATGAATGACGTTGATTTTTGTTTGTCGTACTTAAAATTCAATAAATATGAAAATCAGTCAACCTATTACATTCTATATATTAATTTGTCATTACACAGATATACAACATATGTATACTTCTCAAAGGTGAGGCGAAAGATACCAAAGGGACATTCAAACTCATAAGTCTAAAATAAACTGACAACGCCATGGCAAAAAAAAAAACAACACCAAAAGACAAACAATAGTATACAAAACTCAACATAGAAAACTAAAGACTGAGCAACACGAACCCCACTAAAACAAGGGTGGGGGATCTCAGGTGCTGCGGATCCTGCTGTACACCCGTCTAAGCTGACTAACAAAGAATTTTGCCCAGTTTTTGATTACTTAGTATTAATAGATATAAGAGTGCCGATGAGACAACTCTCCATCCAAGTCCCAATTTTTAAAAGTAAACCATTATAGGTCAAAGTACGGCCTTCAACACGGAGCCTTTGCTCACACCGAACAGCAAGCTATAAAGGGCCCCAAAAATGACTAGTGTAAAACCACTCAAACAGGAAAACCAACCGTTACGGTCTAATCTATATAAAAAACGGCAAACGAGAAACACTTATGAACCTCATCAACAAACGACAACCACTGAACATCAGGTTCCTGACTTAGGACAGGTGCAAACAAATGCAGCGGGTTTAAACGTTTTAATAGGCGCCAACCTTCACCCTCACCTGAAACATTAGTGTAACATCACAACATAGAAAGACACACTATAAAATATCAATTGAAATGGCTTAACTCAATCAAAAGACATACTAACAAAAACAAGTGAACATACACTGAATGAATAAATTTGATCTATGACACACATACGTCCCTAGGTAAGCACATGTTTTAGCGGTATTGTGTCGACCAGACCATGTAATATAGATGACCATTGTCGTGTAAAATGTTCCGCAAACAAATGTAATGGAATCATTAATACACAAGGGTCCCTATTCTGAGTTTAATATATATATTTTTTTAAAATTCTGAATAAATGATTTAATATGCTCCATTAGATAATGAACAACCAACGATCATTGAATCAACATGGTTAATTGTAAAATATAATAAAAAATGTTAGAGCAAAATATCGAGCACTTTGATCTCACTACAGCAACTTCTTTTAGTTTTCGCCCACATCTTTTGTATTAACTTTTATGAAAAGCCATATTATTTCATCACTTAAAGGATTCCAACGAAGTATTCTCAATTAATATAAAAATGTGAATGCTCGGTTTTTGTACATTACTGAGAGAACCGGAATAACGTAACAAACAGTTTTATTAACATCATACTCAATGATTATTAAATATGGAATTAATTTTCTAATAGATGTACACACATTTGTCACACAGCAGAACAATTGGAATGTCTTCATTAACAAACATTTAACTTCAAACAAACAGTAAATAGTTGACGGTCAGTGTTTTGCAATGAAGTATCATCTGTTATTGAGTGAAACACAAAACAATTTGTGTGAAAGTTTTACCCATCTATAACATGTTTAAACGATAGTTAACAAAAGTATAGATTATAAAAATTTGTATACAAAAGATACATTTAGTATGTGCCATTAGTGAAACAGGAAGTGCTTCCCCCGACCCATTAGAGAACCTGATATTGTAAAATGTTTCAGTGAGTGGTTTGTCTGCTCGTCTTTCTTATCATTTGGCCTTGGTCATGTCTCTTTATTTGACTTATGGTTTTTGATTGGACCGTTAGTATCTTTTCTTTTTCTGTCCATTATGTTGGATATGACGAGTTGCTTAATTATGCATTAAGCATATGGGATATATATCAATGACGCAAGAAAAATAAGAATAATATCCTTTTATATTTTTGTGGTGGTATACCTGTAGCAATATTCCAGGCTATTTGCAAGTAAAGGCGCTCTTGCAACAACTCTCGCTAGGTGTTGATATAAAGATAACGTCGCCTTAAATCTCATTAGTGATGTTAAATCAATACATGTATGTGGTACAGTGTATTACATGTAAACCCAGGTTCAACCAATCTCATGTATTTGTTATTTGTAAGTGCCTGTATAGAGTGAAAATATGACGATAAATCACCATGACTTTGTGTAAACCTGATAACTTCAACAGATTTCCCCTGAGGTGGTCAATATGATAAGCCTCGACCTTTAATACATTAGCTAATCACTATCCATATGTCTCATAAGTTTCATTTTCATATTTAAGTTTAGTAGAAAGTTCAGGAAAAATATACCTGGAAATCTTGATCAAAGTAATTGGATTTTGAGAAAAAAATACCGACGCTGTCTGGAATTTTTTAATTATACACATTTAATAGCAATTCAAGGTAGGAAGAACATCTTAACTTTGATTTTACAATCCACTAAGATTGAAACTCGATCTTTATCATAGAACGTAA